TCTTGAGGGAATAAAGAAAAGGGAGAATTCCCTTCAGCTTTCGGCGGTATAAGAATGGCATTGCCTTTGATTCCTTTGCTTTGGGAAAGGACTATTTTCTTTTTTTTCTTTTTTTTATGGTAAGTTTTAGTTTGTATGTTTAAATCAGAAAATAATTTAAAGATTCAACCAAGAAATTACATGAAGTTCTTTGTTTTTCAATAAATGAACTACTGAATTAAAAAGTGAACTTATGACCTAAGATTTCTAAATGGGTCTTCACCTACTTTCAAAAATGACAGTTTGTGCATTTTACATTGCCATGCAGTTTATAATAGGGACCTTTGCTTCACTGATTGAATCTCTGTTCAATCCTAAATAGAGAAAATGGGAACATCTGAATCTAGGTGACTTAAATCACAATCTTACAACACCTGAAAAATGATCCAAGAAAAACAACGGGCCATGGCATGGAGTAACTTTGTCGGAGCGAGTTTTGCAGCAGTGGTTGCCTCTAGGTTTTCTTCTTAGATGACAGTGCCTAAAGCAAGTCTTGGATTACTTTCGAAATTCATATACTTACAATGTACCAGGCATTGTTCTAAATACTTTATAAATGCTAACTCTTTTAATCCTCTTGCTAGTCCTGCAAGGTAGTTACTAATGTTTTATAGATAAGGAAACGTAGGCACAAAGAGTATAAATGACTTGTCCAAATTCACACATCTGGAGCGTAACGGAGCTAGAAGTGCAACCCAACTTCAGAGCTTTCGCTCTAAACTATGCTGCCTCAAGCTTCCTAAGGGCCAGTGATGAAAGGTTTCAAAATGACGGTGGTTTCCTTGGTCCAGCCTGCCCCAGACAGCTTTAATAAGCAGCAAGATGCTGAGGAAGGCTACTATAGTCACAAGAATGTGAATGCTATTTGTTAACTCTCAGCTTTCAGAATCAACCAATACACCAAGCACAGAAAATGTTAGTTACAAAACAGCAAGGAGATATTATCAGTCCTGACATGTGAAAGCAAGTGTGCAGAAAATAGAAGCAGGGAGGTAGAAATGGACAGCTGAGGAAAAGAATAGGGCATACCCTCCTCTTACAAAATCGGAAGCCAAAAATTTCAGCAGGCAGTTGCTGGAATAAGACATAAAAAGTGTAAAAGTTTTAAATATAACCATATAATAGTAGTAAAGATAATGACATAATTATATTGGGAATATATATATATATATATATATAGAGAGAGAGAGAGAGAGAGAGAGAGAGAGAGAGAGAGAGAGAGAGAGAGAGAGAGAGAGAGAGAGGAGGGAGTTACATCCTCAGCTGTTACAGGAGAAAATTGACAGATAATGTCTACTATTGATTAATCTGGAAATGGCACTGTAAGTCTTTGTTAGAGGCTTTTCAGTGGCCTCTCCAATAGATACCTACGTGGATTTAAAGTAGCTGATCTGAGGAGTTAGACAAAGGTCAGACTAAAGACTATGCTTTTTAAAAAATTTATCTTTATTGTTGAAAGTATTAGATGTCCCCTTTTATTTCTCCATGGACCCCGTTTTGTTGTTGCTTTTTATTGACTTGAGAGAGAGAGAGAGGGAGAGAGAGAGAGAGAGAGAAACATTGAGAAATATTGATCAGTTGCCTCCTGTACACACTCCAACCAGGGATTGAGCCCGAAACCCAGGTATATGCCGTGACGGAAACGAACCTGCCACCTTTTTGGTGCCCAGGATGATGCTCCAACCAACTGAACCACCCGGTCAGGGCAAGATGGTATGTTTTTAATATCTGCCCTGCTGAATCTTTTTTTTTTTTTTTTTAAATGTTTTTATTGATTTCAGGGAGAGGAAGGGAGACGGAGAGAGAGATAGAAACATCAGTGATAAGTCATTGATCCGCTGCCTCCTGCAGGCCCCCACCGGGGATCAAGCTTGCAATCGGGGCATGAGAATTGAACTGTGACCTCCTGGTTCATAGGTCGATGCTTAACCACTGAACCATGCCTGCCGGGCCCCGCTGATTCATTTTTTAAACAGATATACCCATTACTTTGAATTCATAGATTCATTACTTGAAAACAAACAAACAAAAGCAGATGTGGTTGGACAAGTTAACATCTAACTCCCTCCAGCTGTCAAATTCAGACTACAGAGCCAAGTGTGAAGGCTTCTACCCCAGAGTGACAGAGAAATGATTTGAAGTACCTCGTTTACAACAGTCTGACAGTCAATTCTGGATGTTCCTCTTTGGTATTTTTTAGAGTAGCAGGCAGAAAAAAAACTTGTGTAATTGCTACGTAGGGTGGCCTTTTGTCCTGAATCCACTAGGATTCTACAGAGCCAGAGCCTTACAGATGACCATCATTTATTATGTACATTTGTATGTAAAATGTCATGCTCTATGCTTTTTAAATATCTCATTTACTCAACCAAGCTGCTATTATATCCGTTTTACAGATTAAGTGCTTAAGACCTCAAATGAGGGTAAATAATTAACCAGATATCACATAGATAATAAAAACTTTGGCAGGAATTAAAACTCATTGTTTTTACAGTTGTATTCTATTGCCTGCTAATTAGTCAGTTAAGTTACTTAATAATATGAGAGGGAAGTGTTATGAATGCTGAGGAAACCTTCATCCTTCAGTTTGCAGGTGGATGCTCTAACGACTTAGCCACACCAGCCAGGGTGAAAGGCATTTTTAAAAATCACAAATATAGAAAAAAATCATAATTTTACCACTGTATCAGATTAGTAGCTAATCATCACTCACAAAACCATTCAATTGTAATTATATTAGTGTTCATTATAATTTATATAGAGTTGAATAGTAGATAAAGTATTGGGCTTTATGTTAACTTATTTGAACTTCAACAGACTCCTGTAGGGTAAGTATTAATAGCATCCCAGTTTTACAAATTAGAACACATGCTCAGGGAGGTGAAGTCACATACATATACAGGATTCAGGTATGAATGTTTCCAAAACTGGGTTCTTTCCTTGGTCAACTTAGTGAGTCAAAACTACCCAGTTTTTACTTAATAAAATTTGTAATAGAAAAAAATAGAGTCAGAGCCTTAATATATATTAAAATCGACATATACAAAAGCAAATACATATACATATACTAGGTCACCATGGAAAATACAGCTATTGGGCAAAAAAAGTTTGACAAACACCGACCCTGTATCCAGCTCCAAATTTTTACTTGCTGTGGGAACTTTAATAGTCAATCTGATTTATTCATTTATAAAATAATGAGAAAAAAATTTTTCTGTACTTCCTAGAAGGTATTTTAACATCCAATGAAATAATAAATGTGGAAAAGAGCTCTAGAAACTGTAAACTTTCTATAGCTATGTTTGTACTTTTGTAAACTTGGATTTGGGGGCCATAAAAATAAGAAAGAGTTGCAGATGAAATTCAGAACTTCCAAAGACTCCAAGGTGGAGTTTTACTTTTGCACGACTGTCACTGTCCCTTGGTCCACTATAACAGTGTAGGGCTGCTTAAGAGGAAGGGGTATGAATTACTTGGGAACTTCATTTCTTTGACTTTCCTGCCTCTTAAATCTAAAAGGGTAACCGTTAATTACCCTCCTGACAAGTCTCCTCCCAAGCACTGTAATGTCTTGTTAAAAGTCCCAATTCAATTACTGTTAAGAACTGAATTGAAAAAAACACAATACATGCAACAGACATTAAGCTCTTACTGCACACATACAAGCCCAGAGTTTGGTCTTTTCTTTCAATAACCAATGGCTAGGGTTTTTAAAAATCCGCAGTTACATGTTGAATACTCACATATATAGGCTGCTAAACCCAAAATTACAATCTTTAGACAAACATTTTCTTTCTAGTTTACCTATTCTGTAGGCAGTGATTTAACCTGGATAAAATACAATTACTAAAGGGTAATATATGGTTTTTCACAGGTTCTAATAGGTTGAGTGAAAAAGGTCATCCACATATACAGCTCTTCCTTGTGGAAACAATCCCATTTAATATGATCAGGTGTTTCCTGGGTCTTGACTATCGTCCCTGAAAGCACAAATTTTCCAAAAAAAAAAAAAAAAAATCGTGCTTAGCTCCAATTAAAATGGGATGTAGCACCACTGCCCAGCCGGGAGCGGAACCGCTGGCAGTGCCCCCGGGTTCACGTAGGACAGGCCACTCTTTGCATCAATCACTTCGCTGGTGACGGGCTGCCAATCAAGTGTAAAAGCAGCATCTGCGCCGCGGACACTGTCAAATCGCCCAATTTAGGAAAACAGGCGGCCGCTAACCGTCGGAGGTCGGCTGCGAAGGTCGGCGCAGCGGGCGGCCCGGCTTCCCTCCGGCGGCCTG